TTAACATTGAATGCTAATCTGGAAACGTATTTACCCTCTTCTACCTGCACAGTGAGCAGACATGTCGGTTCCACAAGTGCTACTTGAGACTGTGGACAATTTTATCAAAAATGACTTAAAAAAGTTGAAGTGGATCAAACCGATTCATCGAGAATTGATCGACACCTACGGCGACGAAATGGCTGTGAACGTCACTGCTGAGGTTCTGAAGAAATTGGGCAAAAATAACGATGCAAAGAAGTTGAAGAACAGTTACGCAGGTGGATGTTTCTTACATTTACAAGTCAAAGTAAGCAAAATTAGATTCTTTCCCTTCTTTTACATTATTCTCTGCATCTGTATGTTTTCATCAGCAGGGGGAAACACAGCTGCACCCTCCACATCTGCTGCAGCACCTCCTGCTGCTCCCGTAGCACCTCCTGCTGCTCCTGCACCACCTCCTGCTGCTCCCGTAGCACCTCCTGTTGCTCATGTAGCAACTCCTGCTGCTCCCGTAGCAACTCCTGCTGCTCATGTAGCAACTCCTGCTGCTCATGTAGCACCTCCTGCTGCTCCCGTAGCACCTCCTGCTGCTCCCGTAGCAATGATGGCTCAGGAAAGAAGTATCATCATCGCCCCGACAGTCACAGGTGGCACCTCTGGGACATGGAATATAACCATCAATAAATAGACTCATGAAACACATCCAGATCGAGATAAGGGAATACACACTTGTTTATTTTTATTATTTTTGCCCAGATTGGCATTTAATGCCGGCTGTATTGTTCTTAGTGCAGTTCGATACACACACACACACACACACACACATACCGAGGGGCTCCACGGACATACAGGGGACTTCCATATTAGGAGGTACATTACTGCGGCCATGTCATGAAGTGCACTCTGCACGTGTGCATCTGGGGACGAGGTGGTTAATGTCGTCGGCATAGCTGACGCCAGAACAGCTGTATGGTACAAAACTATAAAACATCATGAAATGTTTATCTCATGTGCACCTGCATTGGAGCCTCTCTATAGACCAAAATAGAAGCGCTCCGTCAAAATGTATAATTCTCAATTATCCATCAGTTATAGTTCCGGGTCCAGATAAAACAGCGTCTGACCGCGGCCCGCCTATTAGTGACCCCTGCTATAGACTCTACCAGATGAAGTATTCTGTATGAAATGTGCTCGCTTAGACGGCCCCTACATCATGCTATGTACACGGGGGTCGCTCACACACATACAGCTCCATACTAATATACACACACACACACCTACACACACACACAAGCAAACATTTTTGTTCATTTTTACTCTTATGTTAATTTACTGTAATCATGTATTGCTTAGGAATGTGACCTCGAGAGACGGTAGAGCCGACAAACTTGCTGAAGAGTACATATATTTTAAAGATGACTCTGTTATTTACCCTGCGTGGCAAAAATGTATGAAGTTACACGTACTTAGATTTCTAATCATATTTCTAAGATTTGTTGTGACATCATTTATCATTGTTCCATTGTTGTAAATCATGTATCCATGTAGCCCGATGAGAACATGAGGGGGGGGGTACACAACTAGCCTCTAAGTAGAGAACATCTGAAACTATTGCTTGAGAGTTCATGGAGCAGAGCTACTCAGTTGTCTGACCCTCGGAACTGGTAGAATCTACGCTTTGATTGGCCAGTCTGCGTTCGAGGGGCGGGGCTTAGTGAAGAGTCTATTACGTGTGTAAAATGGGCACCTTTGCATTGTCATGTCATTGTTTCATCACCAGCAAACACTTGTGGGTGCCCACAGCATGTGTAAAAGTTGTAATCCTTAAGAGGAGCAGCTGATTCCTTAGTCAATGAAAAGTTAGAGACAAATACAGAGAGACTACCTTGAATTGATTTTGCTGAAAAAATGCGGACCATGAATACTATCAAAAATGTGTATTGATATAATAAATACCGTCAACATTAAGACTGAAGCGGTAGCCAGTATTCTCTATGTCCCAACACGTTTTAAAGTGTTGATCCTGAGATTTAAGTACAGCTCCATCACGTCTGCAGGTACTTGTCATCTCCACCTGGTGTCAGCAGTTGTGTTACGAAAATAACCCCGATTGATCAGGTGATTGCTTGATTCAATATTATTGGAATTTAATAAACTCTGTTATTTAAAAAGCAGTTTTCTGTGATTACTTTCTGCATCTGTATTGTGATATTATAGCTGGATATTAAGGTCTGTGCTCGAATTCAAACCTTCACTGTTCACTCTGCATGTGTAACAGTACTTTGTTGACATTGTGAGTGAAGACTAATTATGAGACTTCAATTATAGTTTGGTTATTGGTCCCTGTTCTCAGGGTGGTGCCCTATATATATATATATATATATATATATATATATATATATACTGTATGTCTTCTGCCTCTGACTGAGGATAAACTACTGACACCAACAACTGCTAGCATGAAAATATGCAGTTCATTATTTCTTTTTTCAAACAACATGAAACTGAAAGTAAGAGTTGTGTTCTCACTTGTGGACTAAACCATTGTTTCTCTAAAAAAAAACAGGGGGGGGGGGGGGTTGAGCCTGAGTTTGAAACTGGATGTTGAGGATTAGCAATCAAAGTTAAGTTAAAGGTAAAAAATAAAGCCTGATGATGGAAAATGCACATAGATTTTCGGATTAATTGCAGATAAGGAGGAAGGTAAACTGTAAAACAAGCTTTGAGTTGGTATCTTCCACAAGCAAGTTCAGACACTCTGTTCCCGCTTTCTTCTTTATGCTGTAACCTCGAGAGGAAAAGCAGCTTACAAGGATATAGAAAAGGAGAAGGTGAGTATTAATTAGGCTCTGCTGCTTCTTTCTTTTAGATTCCTTAATAACATTCATTACAAAAGTTCTGATCAAAGGAAAAGGTTTGAATGGTGACTGATGTGATCCATTTATGAGTTTAATAGTCCAGTGAAGAGTCTTTTATTATCACAAGTTGAAAGGTGAGGCAGTTTAACAAATTACACAACCTGTTCTTTACTTGTTTTGTTGAGAAATAGACAATTCGTCAGTTGTGTAAATAGCAGAGGACTTACTCAAATGTTTGTTTCTATCTTTGTTCTCGCTTTTAGCCGTTTGTTGTGTATTTCTATTTTCCTGTAAATTATTCTGTGATTTAAATTAATTATATTTGTTCACATAAAGAAGATTCTGATCCGAACAAAGCCTCAAAAATTGTCATTTTATAGTTTTTTTCTAAAATATATATCAGTTCACCCATTAATACAATATAATAAAATATAATACATTTAATTAAACGTACTGTGTGGAAATCTTTTGTTTTTACATCCCAGATGAAGAACAAAGACATTTTAACATGAGACTCAACATGCAGGCCGTTAGAGTAGCTTCAGTGTTTATGGTTCATAAAATATATGACGTGTTGAGAAAATGAAATCAGAAATTCTCAATAAATGGTATATATTTACCTGGTAAAGCTGTCAGAGTGATGGTTCCTGGTTGTCTTTTGTTCATTCGTCTCTCTGTTGTAGATGTCGTCGCGGAATTTCGAGACAAAGTGGAAAACAGCCCTGACCTCCATCCTGGAGGAGCTGAGCCCGCCACAATTCAGGAAGTTAATTATCAATCTGGACAAAATCCCTCAAGGTCGGAAGACGGAGACGCACAGAGAAGAATTCCCTGATATCATCATCCAGTTCTACGGGACTGAAGGGTCCATCTCTGTGATCGATAAAGAAATGAAGGTCCCGAGGAAGGACGCTAAAGTCCAGGAGCCACTGCAACGCTTTGTGGAGGAAGTGAAGAAACGACGACAGAAAATAAAAGGTGAGTTCAGCAATCAACCGTCTGAATCCATTTACATTATTGACCCCATGTTGAGTTCTTTACAAAATGATCAGACGAATATATAAAACATACATACATAACTGATTTCCAGAAACACAGACGAGCAAACTGGATAGGTTTCATCCAGTTATTAGGTCCCGAGCACCGACATAGTCGGAGCGGAGGACCTATTGTTCTTCTAATTAGGGCCCGAGCAC